GCTATACAGGTTAATTTTTATTCTTGATCTAATTAGGTATTTTGCTCTGATCGGAAGTTAATATGATATAAAAATATATATTAATTAATTTTACTAAGCCTAATTTTGATATACATTTAAAACAGTCAAACCACGTCACTATGGCAAGTAGAGAACAACCAAAAGCACCGTACGTAAAAAAAAGATTGTGTTGAAAAGTTAACCTTTTGTTTGTGTATAAGGGGTTTTACTCGAAGTTTCTTTTTATGCTGGATGATAGGATCTTACAACATCGAACCTGCAAGCTCAAAAGTGTTACTGTATTTTGGAATAGTGTGTACGTAGTCAACGTGCTGTTACTGGGTGCCACGAGTCTTGAGACTAAATAGTTGTCACAAAGATCTGTAAATTGAACTTTAAAAATATACTCAGAATTTGAATTTTTAACCCGAACGGTAACTTATGCGCACGCATACCAGGGGTTGAGAAGTGTGGGGACTAGAACACTTGCGTCATGGAAAAATTCTCGATAGTCAATCAAAACTACAAGACTGCCACCTACAGTGCGAAGTCGTAATCTGTAACTGCAAAGAATATTCAAGAAATTCGCATTACGTAAGAACGTAACACCTTTTAAAACTTGTAATGCTAAGAAACCTTTTCCAAACCAATAATGTCATATCTCTCACAGCACTGTTTTGTATGTACGTGTTACTTTACATTAACTGTTTATAATATGCATCATGCTGTTTTCCACCTAATTAACATTTAATGCAGTTCCGACAGTAACCCCACAGTAACTGCGTATCTTTTTCTGAAACTACGAAAAGGAGGCTCCCTCTGGATTTGCGTGTTTTTATGAATTCCGTACATTAGTTTTATTTATTTATCATTTTAAAATATTTCAACATCACAGTTTTCAATAACTTATAATTTATTCTTCTGTCTACATCACTTGGTTGAATGATACAGAGACAAAAACTAGTTGAGTGGAATGCTAATATCATTTTACTCTTCGCACGACAAGATAGCATTTTCAGAATGTACATCAGCTTTATACAACAAGGATTAATACCGTTTGTTCGTACTTTGCAAGTTGATGTGTTGTAATCAAAGCCACATTAAACTTTTTCACCTTCAGAAGCCTCATTAAAACTCAACTTAGAACATACGTATTTATAGATTTGGGGGGGGGGATAGAATGAGAACTTAACAATTTATTAGATAATGTGAGTTTCAAAGAAAATCCAGCATAGTTATTTTTCCTGTTATTAAAATTGATAAAATGTATTGATTTATTTCTTGTCGTGGAAGCCTCAGAACAGTTTAGAATTGGTTTTATCTACACAAGGAACAAAGTAACGTAAACTTGAACGAATATGTTTTTTATTTTACTCTATAACATAAAGTAATTTGTTTTATTTTGTTGTAGTACATTGTTTATTTGTTGTTGTTTTTCGCTTTCTTTTCAAGTTTTGTATTTTCCAAAAAAACATACGACTAGAAACTTGAATAAGAATTCTTTCGTTTATGCTCCGCAACAATAAATACGCAACTGTTGCTTCTAAGGAGTAACAAAATATAGATATTAAATTAATATTCGTCGTTGCTCAAAAGATGAACGTTTCATTAACGTGTAGTTTTGATACTCATGCCAAATATTTTGTTCGAATGTCAAGATAT